AAATTAAGCTTGGACTACCTAAGACGTCTTATTCTTGAATTCGTATTCTTCAAGGAATAGTTCATTGTTGAATAAGGCTTTATTAGATACTGATATGATATTGCAAGAAAAAATATCCGATATATATTATCACAACTAGTGAATTACCCCGCGCGAATTCATAAAAACTTCTTCTAAGTATGTGCAAAATATAAGAGATTATATATAACTTTAATTAATTAATGAAAGTGACCTAACATGACTCATGCTGGTCATCTTTTCTTCTCTACATTATTAATGTAAAAGAACATTCACCTCATAGTATTTGAATTCAGTTACCTTATTTTATTACTATAAATTTGAAAAAACATGAAAATAAAATTTCGAGTGCAAATGCCAAAAGGTTCAACTCTTGAGTAGTTAATATTTTGCAAAAGTTCAAAAATAACAACAGGCAAGTGGCAAGTAAAGGACAGCCCGGCGGACTAAGTTTCCGCTATGCGCGAAGTCAGGGAAATGACCGAATCACAAGGGTCTATCGTACGCGGCCCTTATCCTGCATTTCTGCAAGAGGCTGTTTTCACGGCTCGAACCCGTGACCTCCTGATCACATGGCAGCAACTTTACCAGTTACGCCAAGGCTCCCTTCAGGCAAGTGACAAGTAGTAGCGAGCAAATCACTATCGAGGAATCACCAGCAAATACCTGAACTTGAGTTCCATGGCCACGCAGATGAGATTTGTATGGCATATCACTGTATCATGCATTGGACGGCGTTAGAATTCTACCATATCTTGGAACAGGAATATGGAATTAATTTTCAAGAACCATTATATATACATTCCCAACAAAAATACATCAGTATAGTTCAGACATAGAAATATAGTCGCATGAGGACTTGAACTTGATGAAGCTTTTGCATGCTATTTCTTTCTTTGAGCATCCTTCCTCATTATTTCTCTAAATAAGGCTTCAAAATAAATAATGTCTCAACAACACACCATATGAATTTAGAGGAAAACAATAACTACTCGAGAGAAGAACAATTGATTATATATCCTTTGGGAAAAAAACATGCCAAATATACAGAAGGAGTTATAAAGGAACGCAAGGATTATTTTCTCAATATTTCGAATGTTGCTATCCAGGCAGTGAGCATCCAATTATTCCTTTCCTTTGAAAAGAGAACAGCAAGCAACAACTATCAATATATCTTGCAGAACTTCCTGAATGAACAGTTCAAGGAACCATTAGCAGTTAACACTATGGCCAAGCAGTTTTAGGAAGCCCATTTCACTATGGCCAAGTACCCTCCATATATATATATTTTTAAAATATATATATACATATATATATTTTTTTTTAAAATATTCTTAAGCCGTATTTGCCAGAGGAATTGTTTAATCAACTCAAGTACCCTCCACAATAATGAGAAATCTTTCAATAAGAGACTTTCTTCTTCTCTCGCCCTCTGAAGACAAAATATTAAGGGAAAAAATCAGATTGCACCAACTGTGTCTCTTGAAGGATATTGAATTACATCCACATTTCTCTTGTGCAAGAACCGAATCTTCTTGTTCCTTGATACTCTCTTAATTACCTCCAACAACTGTAACACAAAGTCGAGGAAAACAAATATAAGCCCCGAGATAGAAAAAAGAAAAACAAAAACTTAAAAGAGGTATTTGAAAATTAAACACCAATTTATATATAAACATGAAGCTTCAAACCGTGGCTTCTTGTACTCTGTTGTAAAGGCAATGATGGGGCACATTAAACAATAAAACTAACAACCCATATTTCTCGGCAAATATAAGCCCCGGGAAGTGGAACGAAGATTGTGTTTCATTCCTTACTTATTATGGAGGGAGGAGTTGAAGCTTGTAACAGTTGGGAAAATAAAAAGGATGTAATGAAGGTTGTAACGGTTGGAAAAATAAAAAGGTTGTAACTGTTGGGAAAATAATGAAGTATTCTATTGAATTGACAAAAAGAAAAATCAAAAAATTGACAAAATAGATAAATACAAATCCTTGCATATGAGACATGCCACATCAGCTTAGCAATTCCCTCCTTTATAGATATATATAGATGTTTCTTTCCCTCTGTTAGAAAAACTCCTCCTACTATGGAGACAACTTCTATGGAAGATTTCTAAGAAAGTGATAGCAGAGCGGTCCAATAATATTTGTGGCCTAAAGTCAAAGTTTAATCGAAGGCCTTAAACTTAAATAAATTTTATAATATTATCTTTATATTTAAAGTCAATTTTTAAATGCAAAGTTGTTAATATATTTTATAATCGCTTTTTTCTAATAATTTTTTTCCAGTTGATAATATAACTAGTCCATTTACTTTTTCTTGAGACATTTTTTTTTAATCTTAGGTTAGATTTACCAATTTTAATTTTAAAAGATTTATATCCATTGAGAAAAATAAAATTACACATATATTTACCTACAGTTCGTAAAATAGGACAAAGCAACACTAAATTCCATCATTTTGATAAATGTCTTAGATTTCTTTACACTTTTCTCTTTATCTAAGTTTCATTTTAATTTGTTCTCGCATTTTATAAATATTTCTTTGTTGAGAAATAAAAAAACCTCGAGTAAGGATGTAGAGTATAACGAAACGAATTAAAGCAAAATATAAACATGTAAATTGGAGAAAGGAAATGAAGTGTTTAGCAGTTAGCACTATCACAATGAGACCTATTCTTAATTCATTTCTCCAATAATTTATATAATCTGTCTTAGTATTATAAAATTCTTCATATAATGAATAGCAATAGTTATCTATGAGCTCACCAAATTATATAATGAATAGCAATGTCTTAGTATTATAAAATTCTTCATATAATGAATAGCAATAGTTATCTATGAGCTCACCAAATTATATATTTATAATATACAAAGATAGCGTAGAGAAGAAGAAAACTACTTCCTTGAGGCGTGTGTAATGACAACCAAGTCCAACAAAGTACAACATGTACACGGATAATACCGTTTGACCCCCATTTTCTTCTTCTTTCTAGTGGGGCTGTGCCGCTGATTTTGCAAATGAAAAAGGGTTCGAAATACACATAGGTTTAAAAATACCCTTCATTTAATTATTGGGCTAAAAATATCCCTCCATCCATTTTTTTGATTCACTTATCCTCTTTGACCGTTAGGTCAATGTTAAATTAAAAATAATTAATATTTTTTTTGTAAACTTAAAAAAAAAATTGCAAATTTTTTTGTTTTTTTAAACCAATGCACCAATAGTCCACTAATTTAGTAAAGTCTTCTTATTTTTTTTTCCAGTTTTTACAAAAAAACAATTCATTTTTTAAAATTTTGTTTTTCATTTTTTTCATTTTTTTAAAGCACTTTTTTGTAAAAATTGGAAAAAAAATGTTTTTAATAAAATATTTTCGTTTTTTAAAAACTGAAAAAAAATATTTTTGTTTTTGAATTTTTTTTTTCATTTTTTTTAAAGCATTTCGTTTCTTTTTTCAGTTTTTTTTTAAAGAAAAAATATTTTCGTTTTTAAAAAAAAAAAAAACTGAAAAGGCGATAATATTTTTTTCAGTTTTAAAAAAATGAAAATATTTTATTGAAAACATTTTTTTCTGTTTTTACAAAAAAAAAAAAAAAATNGAAAAAAAAAAATTTGTTAAAACTGAATTGTTTTTTGTAAAAATTGAAAAAAAAAAAAGAAGAAGAAGAAGAAAACTTTACTAAATTAGTGGACTACTGTTGCATTAGTTTAAAAAAATAAAAATATTTTGTAATTTTTTTTTTAAAGTTTTACAAAAAGAATAATAATTATTTTTAATTCAGCATTGACCTAACGATCAAAGGGCATAAGTGAACCAAAACGGTGGATGGAGGGGTATTTTTAGCCCAATAGGTGAATGAAGGGTATTTTTACACCTTTTCCAATAGTTTAAGGGCATTTTGAACCCTTTTCCGTTTTGCAAATGCCTATCTGTTTTAGTTCACTCAATTATTCACCATTACCACAAAAGAATTTTATTAAAGTAATTTACTTTAAACAAAAAAAAACATATTTTTGTTTAAGCAAGATAGTAAGCCTTGATTTTTGCAATAAATTGTTTAGAACTAGACCACGGCAAAAATTAAGCTCGTCTGCTCGTGTAAACTTATACCGTCAGTCAGTCACTAGATCAATCCTTTGTTTGGAGGGTGTATAAGAATTTGCAATTAATAATGCTAGTGATTAATTATGTTGAGATTATTTTTTATATACTGTTCGGTTTGGTGTATTAAAAATAATATAAATTGTATAATTTTTTTTAAAAAAAAATTATTTATTTACAAATATACCCTCCATATTCCTTGGAAAGGATTTGAAAAAGGTTTTGAAACGACAGTTTTGTCTAAATACATACTTATCCATTTATTAAAAAATATGATATTGCTAATGCTGTGGTTTGCTATGTATAAGAATAATATCAAATTGGATGTATAACTAATAATATGGGTATTAGTTATATATAGGATAAAAAATACTACCAAATAAAAAATTAATAATACCAAAGTTAATATATATATTATTTTTTCTAATACATCCTATCAAACGAGCCTGAGGTTAAAAAGATCGGGAGAAACATTTCGCATTTTGATTCGTTGAGTTACTATTATTTGTATCTCAGTTACTAGACTAGAAGTCTATTGACTGATAAAGAAAACAAGAATCTTATTTGCATAATTTGAAACGAGTATAGACTTTTATTTTATAAAAGCGTGAATATTGTGCTCTTTTGCATTTTCCTACTCGTTTTACTTGAACAGATTCCACAATGGCCGCGGAAATTTGCTATTCTGCTGTTTTATGGCTCCCCTGAAAGCAAAAACAACTTGTCAACTTGTGCCCACGTTTTGCAGAACCCCACACACCTATATAGTGAACCAAAATATTGACCAAAACCAAACAATCAAAAAGCCAACCAACCCTACCCACCCCACTCCCTCTTTTTCTTTCACAAAACAAAAAAAACTCTCTTTTTTGACATGGTACTCTTGGTTGAAAAGATTAGCCATTTTCTGAGAAATCCCAACAGGCTGGAGAATCAACATCACAATTCAGAAGCCCTGTTGGCTTCTACTTTGCAAGTTTTTCGGTCCGATGTATCGAAAATCTTGAACAAAGTCTTGCCAATTCCAGAGCCAGGGACAGAACCAGAATTCCAGTTCTTGTCCCTGGCCTGGATTCAGAAGTGCCTTGATGCAATTCCAATGATTCATAGAGCTTTTGCAAAGCTTGTGGTGCAAATAGACCACCCAATAAACATATGGGGAAAATCACAAGTTGAGGAGTACTTGGACTACACCTTGAATTTGCTAGAGTTACTGAATTCTGTGACTTCTGGTGTTTCCCATTTGAGTCATGCTAGGCTTTGCATCTCTCATGGATTGAGCCTAATCGAAAAGAATTCCAATTCTCCGGCTTTAGAGCATTTGAAAGAGATTCAGCCTCATGATCTTGGCAAGGAATTCAAAGTTGAAGGGAAGATTGAAGATACTTCTTGCTCAGGAAAAGATTTGATCATTCATCGATCTTTGTGGATTTTGAGGAGCATTTCTTTGTGGGTTTTTGGAGTTTTGTTATCTGGAATATGCAGTGATGTTAAACCCTACATGGAATTGAGGATATCAGCTGGTTTGTTTGATGAATCTTTGATCAAAGGCTGGGATTCTTTATTAGCCAAAGAAATTGCAGAAAATTGTGGTGTTTCAAAAGAGGTGAAAGAGATAAATGAAGTGGTAACTAATTTGATAGCTGCAGTGGTTAATGGTGAAGTTGCCAAAGAACTCAGAATAAGATTGGAGGATTTAGAAGAATTGCTGCAGACCATTGGGAAGAAAACAAATGATCTCTTCACAGAAGTTCTTGGTGAAAGGAGCAAATTCCTCGATAGCCTTTAGCACACCACAAATAGAAATAGCAAGTAAATTCTTTTGTAAATTTGTGCATGTATAAAGTGGTTGTGAATAGATTATTAATGTAATATATGTAACCTATATAATTTCGCATGAAAAGTATTGCAAGTAATACAGACAAACTTTGATGTCAATTAATGCTTTACAAGTGCTTGGCTTTCTGTCTTTTTTTTTTCTTTAAATTGTGTATCTGAAATCCACTGTCCTTACTAATTCATTCCACCAAGGGAGAATTGCTTCCCCACACATCCCACTACACTCCTTAGTGGTAAATATTTGGGTGAAGTTCTGTGTGTGTATCCCATTAGGGTCCAGAATCCCTTGATGGGAAACACAAAGGATGCAAGATGAAAGGGAATAGTACATTTCATCTCTCTGGTGAAAAGCTAAACAGTGAAGAAATGGTAACATTTAGAGAAAATGTACACAAGAAAAAGACTGATAAATGTATGACCAAGAACATCCATTCCATTAACTCAAGAAACAAATAGCATGAGAGGGGAGATGTGAATGGGTCTAGGCACCAAAAATCAGTAAAAATGGAGAACTGAACTCTTCTATTCTCCATCTTAAACACCCTATCAAAAGGGATTGTCCAAAATCAAAAATTAACCAGCATATTTATCTTGCTCAAGCCATCTAAGGGATCATTAAGTCCTTGACAAAATCACGGTTTAGATGAACCTGTTTTTAACATGAAAACTGGTTCAATATCATTTGACCTGACATGTGCCTACTATCAAAGGAGGGGACGAGTCCCGAAAAACATTAGTCACTTTGAGCCGACTTGATTCTCTGAATTGCTTGAAGGAGATTCCTGCTCAGGTTTCTTTCGCTTTCGACCAATTGTTGGAAGCCTAAGGTACACAGAATACAAAGGACCATCAGAATGAATTGCACAGCAAGAAAGTTCATACAAACTACCAAGAATTTTGTTAATAGGACGCCTGCAAAATTTAGTTACCATGCTTTTAACTTGGACCTTTTAGGTGTGACAACACATGTGATGTATTTAGCCACCAAACACGTATGTACAGAGCAAGAAAATTAACTCCAAAAAAAAGAAAAGATATGATACCCCAATTGCAAGGTTGTGTTGGAATCTTCGTCATCTACTCCATCTTCACATGCTGTGTCCGAGTCCAGACTCTCCTCGCCCTCTTTTATAATTGGATACTTCTTTTCCAATGGATGGTATTCAAGATAAGGTGGAGGTAAACTAGCACTTAGAGGAAATAACCCTCGAAGCTCTTCTACCTGCAGCTCGCGAGAAGCCAAAAGCAATTGTGTCAGAACATAACCACCTGAAACCTAAAGGGCATTTTATAGACTGTAAAGCAATAGAAACAAAAACGAAGGCTTGTCTTGCCTGTCTGCGTAAGGTTTCACTCTCCGACACAGCCCTCTCCTCCTGGATAGGCATCATCCAAAAAGAAAGATGAGCAGAACAAGACAAAAGCTCATCCTGTACTTCTAATCTTTTCTTGCTGGAATAAAAAATATAAATATTTCAACTGTATGATGTGGTTTACCTGCCTCCTTGAATTCTCTAGTTGCTGTATCAGCAATTCTTCCTAGAATATAGAATAATTATTGCTCAGATTTCAAGATTCAACAAAATAGATATATTCTGGAAAAAGCTGATTACATCTTGGGGCACTAATAACTGAATAATCAAAGCAAACTTCACACCTTTCTGTCCTTTATGGCTAATAGCCCTTCATTTAGTTGATGTTCAAGCAGCCGTAGTTCATTCAAACCCAAACCATTAAGGTCCTTGCCTAACAACCGCCTGAAATAACAGTCAATCGCATATATAAACTTAAACCATGTTCAAGCACTAAATGTCTTTAAACAGTGATTTGCATAATTAACAGAGCCATACAGCTGTTTTATCTTGAGCTTTGAGAGTTCGTCTTTAAGACTGTCCACCTCTTTCTGTTCCTGCTTCTGCATGTGCGTCTGTAGCTGCGCCTGTGGTTGTGGCTGCTGGTTGTCCTTGCTCAAGAAAAAAGCAAAAGAGGACAAATTCAGAAACCTCTACTGATAGGACCATATCAATAGATAAGGGACTGTTTAAATACGATTAAGTATTCATACTATCACCACACCCAACCCTCCACCATGGTACAAACAAATAGAAGCATCTATTTGTGCATGTCAGTATGTTTAGAATACTTCTAAGCGCAAAAACAATCCTTTTAACAAAAAATATATTCAACACAGATCAGAAATAAAGATATAACTTATAACCTGGATAAAGTGAGACACCACACCTGCCTGTCGGGTAATGCAAGAACTCCAGATTTTGATGTTGTAAAATCATTTAGCTCATCTCCCAATTAATAATTAAAATAAAGCTTTTTGAAGAAATGTTACCATTTCCTTAAGAGAGAAAGGCTGTGGTGAGCCTGTTTGGATGCAGAACATTCAAGTGATTACAAATTTACTCCTTTCTGTCAGAGCAAAGACCACTCAGTTTCAAACTAATTCAGTACACATGTCATTAAACACAAGTATCCGCCTTTATGAAGAGAAGACTTCACCAAAAGAAAAACAAAAACGGAATCTAATTACCATCAGATATCACAATGAAATTGTTAATAATGAAAAGCTTTCCAGAACGAAGAAGAATATTCTGAATCTCTAACACTACAGCTCCTTGACCTACTTCAAGTTGCGCTTTTATTGCATTTTGTCCTTCAATTATGTAATTTCCCGAGACATCTTATAAAGATGAAAATCAGAAAACTGAAGTTCATATATTTTGAGTTCCGTAAGGTAAACATACAGAACTATCTGATTCCAGTCTCCAGCTCAAGTATTTGCATTGGGAAAAAAAATGTCATTCTTTCTCATAGTGATTCATAAGTTATTTATCGTTATGATCAGTATAGTCTAACTTTTATTGATGCATTCCAGCCAGAGCCAGAATTAACTACTGATCCAACAAATAAACAGGCGCTGTGTATATTTGATGAGTTGAACTCCAGATTTTTAACCTTATTGACTCAGACACCAGAAAGAAGCCCAAAATAAAGTCTGTGGACATCTTTTCAATTGCAAACAAGAAGTCTAAGCAGATACAGGAATCTCCATAAATTACACCAAGACATAACTAAAAAGCAAAATATGGGACATGCTAGGGTCCACCAATTGACCAAAGAGGAGTCCACATAGTATCAACAATGGTAAGGAAAAGTTTAGACTGCATTCCCAAAGTTTCATTCTTTGAGCACGGGGAGAAGGGGGCAGAAAACCTCCCCGGAACGTTAATACTGAAGTGAAGACAAATAAGAGAGTATTACACCAAAAATTCTACTAAGGATACCCATGATCCTCTTAACAAAAATAGCATGAACATTATTGGAGAAAATATAGAAAAATTATTTGGCCTTAGAATATGAACAACAAATCTGAAAACCCATGCACTCCGAGAAATGTTTCTTCTTCATACTATCAAAAGAAATAGTATGAAGTAGGGGTCTATTGGAAACAACCTCTCTACCTTCACAAGATAGGGGTAAGGTCTGCGTACACACTACCCTCCCAAGCCCCACTTTGTAGGATTATACTGGGGGGAGGGGGGGGGGGGGGAACAGATAAGAAACCCAAAATGTATTTTTTTGGACACTTCCTGCTAGAAGTTGCAGAAAACCCAGCCACCTTTCACCATCCCCCTAGAACAGAACTCTCTGGTACTGCGCAATTTGTCAAAAAGCGTGATTACACCAAGAACATAAAGCCCGGTGCACTAAGCTCCGGCTATGTGTGGGGTCCGGAGAAGGGCCGGACCACAAGGGTCTATTGTACGCAGCCTTACTCTGCATTTTTGCAAGAGGATGTTTCCACGGCTCGAACACATGACCTCTTGGTCACATGGCAACAACATTACCCGTTACGCCAAGATTCTCCTTCAAGAGTTTCTTTTAAGAAAAGTTACAGCTTTTCATATCGAATGAAGAGTAACAGAACTCAGAATATTGAATCGAAGGTCAGTGCATTATACATATTTTATATAGCAAGCCATGATCATAACTACACAGGTGAAGATCTTCTACCTCTGACTTCCTTTCTATGGCAGAAATCTCTGTTGAGGCTACACATCTGTGGTATCTCGAAAGCGTCTGTTTCATGCTGCATTTTGACAAAAATTAATACCAAATTATGGATAAGCGATCGCAATAAATCAAAGTCACATCTTCTGTAATGCGAGAAAGCCATATTCAAGGGAACTTTATCCGGACGCAAGTATTTTCTCTTTTCTTTGCATGCGAGCAACAAAAAAGAACAATAACATATCCAGAGTATTCCCACGACGCAAAAGAGAATTTTCCAAATCAATATCCCCTAATTTACAAGGGCTAGGATGTTGAAAACCAGATAAAAGACATTCTGCGCCGAGGTTACTGCACCAGACCACTGTGGAATGGTACATGAAAGTAAGACAAGAAACTTCCAGTTCAATATAACTTGTTCAAATTGCCTCTAAAAGTCAAACAGAAAGTGGTAAAGATAACATCAACATCAGAAATCGATAAGAGGAGAGAGTTATAACAGCTTTCTTCATAGGATGCACGGATGGTCCTGTTTACACATAATATTAAGAAATTAATCAACTACCTTCTAATAGACAAGAAAACAGAGTATGCAAAATTGCATAGGCCTACCTACATGATAATCTTATCTTATCCTGAGCAGCATTGCACGCAAGACGATCAATCAAAAAGTCAGGAATAGGAAAAAGGAAGAAGAAATTTATCAAGTGATTGTCTATGAAAAGGTATTACTAGCATTATTACAAGAAACAATTCTAATTTATTGCAGAGAATAGGAAATTTTGCAAGAAACACACAATGCTGAAAAATGTGCACCAACCAATAATCAAATTCTTTCTATGTGAATTTAAAATACTAGAACAATTTCTAGGAAGTATCAACACAACCTAAAACACTAGGCATGGGAAATTCATGAAACCCAGTGTCTGGCTGTATTTTTGGTCAATTTTAGCATACACAAAGATAAAGAAACTCCACCAAGTAACTCGACAACTGCCCAACAAGACTTAGACAAATGGGAAAAAAACCAGTATCTTTCTACTACTACATTATTCACCACAATAAAGTAAAACAAATCTAAAGTGAAGTCAGCATAATCAAAAATTAATTACTACGATAAAAACAAGAAACAATAGCCACACATGCAAACCCAAAAATTAAAATCAAATCTGATTACATACATGCAACTAAATTAAAGCCCCCAAAAGATTTTGAGATAGCTAGATTTCAAAGAAGAGATGAAAAAACATACCTAGTACTGGAAAACTCGAAAAGCTTGCTAGTACTGGAGAAAATAATAACAGCAACTTCCGCATCACAAAGAACAGAAAGCTCATTGGCTTTCTTCAACAAGCCAGCCCTCCTCTTTGAGAATGTCACTTGCCTATTATTTACATTCTCTATCAGTTTTATGTCTATCTTCCCTCTCCCCATATTTCTTTAATTCCCCCCTCAAATTAAAAACCCAAAACAAAACTCTTCAATCTTTCCTCACACACAGATGTTCTTTTTTGGGGGGAATTTTTATGTGATTATAGATAGATAGAGAGAAGAGGAAAGAAATTAAGAAGAGGGTTTTTGTGCTAAAAAAGGGAAAAGGGGAAAAAAGGGGAGGAAAGAGAGTTGCTAAAAAGAGAAAGAAGAAGGGAAGATAGAGAGACGTGAGAGAAGTCCCCCAAATGGCAAGAGACTCTGGAAACGGCAAACGCTGCATGGCCAATTCTATGCTTTGCATGACTCTCTCTCTCTTTCTCTCTCTTCTCCATTTGCTTGCCACATTTAGTGTGCATTTTCTTTTATTGGCTCTTCCCTGTAGGCCCCACTTTCCATTTTTTCCATAATTTATTGGGGGTCTTTTTATATATAACAAGTACGTACATATATATTCACATAAACTGGAACAGAGGGAGTAGTATTTATTCAGTTACATGTATGCACAAATATGGCTTTATTATTACTACTATTTAGAGAGTTGAGGGTCATAATCAGAGGCGAAGCCAAGATTTACACTTCAAAGCTTATGGTTCAATGTTCTAATCCTTTTAAGTTATTGGGTTCTAAACTAATAACTTTTACATATTCAATAAATATTTTAAGATAAATACAAGGTTTAAACCAAAGCTACTGGGTTCGGATATGCGACATGCTGGCTCCGTCCCTGATCATAATATATTTAATTTTTTAATTATTATTATGACTTATATTACTTTTATATAATGTTTGAATACATATGAGTTCACACTAAAATTAAGTAATTTAACTATCATACTTAAAAATTAAAATTAAATACATAAATAGATCGGACGAAGTAATTAGAAATAACAAGGGATAGGGATCTAGGGTAAACATTTTGCGTGAGAAAGAATGGGGTAAATATAAGGCATAATAGTCGTTAACTATGTTAGAATTCTTCTTGCCTCTTTTTCTTTTTTTGCTTTTTTCTTTACTGGTGTTAGAATCCTACTAATATGGAAGTCTTTTCAATCGCTTTTAAGTTATTTCTATATGATCTTCTTTCTTTTTTCTTTTATTTTTTCTTCCTATATCGAGCTTTTCTTGTGGTCTTAGAATTCTATTATTTTTTTATTTCCTTTTCTAGAAGTTCTTTAAAAAGTAAGTGATATTTTTCACCTTTTATTTATTCTTTCTATATATAGAATAAGGAGTGAGATTGCATCGCTATGATTTGAAACACTACTTAAATTATTACTTTACTATCTTGTTGATTTTTACGGTTTTGATAAATATTTTATACTGCGAGCTTTTAAATAATAACAACAACAACAACAATCCAGTAAAATTCCACTAGTGGAATTTGGGGAGGATAAAGTATATGTAAACTTTATGCCTACTCCGCAGGGATAAAAAAACTGTTTCCTGGAGACCCTCGATAAATACTGCAAGCTTTTAAGATAAATAGTGTTCCTTTTCCAGATAAATCCAATTTCAATTTAAACATTGTTAGTTGAAGGGTGTATTGTCTAAATATAATGGAATTTTTAGTATATAATTTGACTTGACTAATATTTACGGTGTTAGAACTCACCTTTCTCATTCCTATTCTTTCGATAGCTGTTAGAAAGGTTTTACATAAATTGCTATATTTTCTTTTCTTCCTTTTTAATTAGTCTATTTCTCTATTTAGAAATTATTTAATTTACTTATTCTTTATTTATGAAATATGCAGAGTTTTTGTATGCGGTAAAATCGGTTAGTGCCAGGTTTACGAATGAAGAGGTTGCACGTGGAGCTAAAGACATGTAGGATGCGAGTCATCAAATAGCCGATACCGGTTGCAAGCATGTGACTGGTGCTGGATGAATCCCAAAGATAGAGTAGTCGATGACAAAGATTCAAAGAATTGACATCGGGTATCATTCAATGAGCAAATGTTACAGAGAATATCTGCATTTATAGCCAACCGTTATGCATCCATCAATGACGGTTTTATTCTCATTTAAGAAGAGCTTAATTTGGAGATCTTGTGTCCCCAAATAGAGATATAAATAGAAGAATTAGCATCTATTGCAAACACGAATCATACTTTACACAAAAGTTTAAGTCAGCTCTCATCTTATAATGTTATTCTTGAATATTGTTCTCACTTCTGTTACTGGAGAGACTAAGTTCATAGTCAGGCTTGATTTCCTTTAAATTTATTTCATAATCCTATTTTGTCTTGTTTATTTCATATTCTTGGATCAAATTAATTCACGTGTCTATAAACCACGTTACAAATTCAACTGTATCGTTTTACGGGTAAGAAATTTGGCGCCCACCATGGGGTATAGACAATTGTGTAATTGCGTTGATCCATTTATATGTTACTAACAATTTTTGATTCATTTCTTAGCAAAAGAAAAATCAGATATGGCAGCTAACGATGTCAACAATGAGTACAATGTTAGAGCACACAATGAACGTGAAGATGTGTTCCAGCGTGATGGTTCAACCAGCGAAACCCGCAATGAAGGAGATTAAACAACTCTAGTTCGCGAAGGTCAGAATCATAGACATATGAGGAGTCCAACTCCTGATGGTTGATATTCGGCTTAAAGTATGTATATTTTTTCCTCGCATTTTACTCATGTTTCGTAGATTTCAGATGTGTAATATAATGACTTGTGCTAATTAGTGGTATTTTTATGTGTAGGAATCATCCGGAGGCAATTTGGGACGAAGGTGCGTGAATTCAAGCGAAAAAGGGAAGAAACGAGAAAAAGTCACAAAGTAGCGCCACATGTAGCGTGGGGCGCTACCTGTGGCGCACAAATCAAAATCTCCAAAGTTCCAGCACCAGGGCTAGCGCCCCACGCTACCCTGGGCGCCGGTGACGTGAAGTTATCCTATTTCGCACGGAACTTGGTTATTTCGACCGCCAGACGCCCCCCCCCCCCAACTCGTATAAAAGAAAACCTAAATCTATTTTGGCAAGGGAAATGTCACTTTGAGAGAGAAACACAAATACGAAACACTCGAGAGTACGGAATTCATCAGTTTTTCCATTCTTCATCTAGTGTTCACAACTTTTATGTGTAAAATAATATTTTGATTATTGTTATGAACATGAGTGGCTAAGAACCTCATTATTTTGGGATTATGGGTTGTTCTTGATTATTGTAAATTGACAGTTGATTGTTTTTCTTGACTTTATCATATTAATTTTTTTTACTCGATCTTGCACTTAATTATTCTATTGCGTAGCTAATAATAAAGTAGTGTCTACGAATTTACAGTTGAACTCGAAAGTGAGTACTATAAATTGCATATAGGATTGAATATAGTAAGTTTTTGCAGGATTGAATATAGTAAGTTCTTGAATTCGAACATCGGAGAATAGATTTGTGATTAGGATAGGCATATTCTAATTGCCTTACTTGATTATTTTTGCAGGAAATATACATGCGTTCTTGTCAAGTTTGATTCTATAGACATATAGTCTCAGGTTGGCTTGACTAAGCGAGCGAAGCATCAAAAGAACTTTGCGAGCATAATAAACCCTGGTAATAAAAAATTAGACGAGTCAAGTGATTATATCAACATGAAAAATGCAATAGGAGAGACGTCAATCCTATAACCCTGGAATATCCCCATCTCATTGACGCTCTACTTGCAATCTTATTTTCTTGCTTTCTTATTAGTTCGTAATAATTTAGTTATAAAAATCACAATCATATTCTTCATACTCACTTGAGCATTAAATATATAAATAGCTTAGATTGGAAAATAGTTGATCATAAATCCTCGTGGGAACGATACATTCTTATCACTTTATTAGTTGTCGACCGCGTATACTTGTGTGTGCGTTTGGACCCAACAAGTTTTTGGCGCCGTTGTCGGAGATTTAGAAATTAGTTATTTGTCTAAAATAAGCTCTTATTTGTTTTTGTTCAAGTGTTAATCTGTTTGACTGTTTCTGATTCTACAAGTGTTCACCTTGAATTCTAAGAAGAAGCAACAGTTTGAACAACCTTCCTTATCCTGATCAAGAACCCGAAAGATTATTCCATAGGTTAAGGAGGGAGGCGGAAGAAAGTGCAAGAATTTTAGAGTTGGGTATTGTAGTCCAAAAACAGCCAATCGAGATAGCAGAAAATGAAGAAAGACCGGTGATTGAGGCTGCAAGGTCTAGTCTTGCGAACATGACTCAGGCTATCGTGAAGCCTGATATGTCACGACCCAAACTGGAGGGCCATGACTAGCACCCGGCCATACTTACCGAGTACCAACATACATTTTATCTAACCTTCTTTATTATCTTTTAGGGCTGACGAGATCAATATAAATGGTAGACATGGGTCATGGACAACCAACAATAAAATATGATGGTATAAACATACATAACATGGGATGACTAGACAATCAAGAAACTATATATAAGGTACGAGCTACCACACTACCATGAGAGACTATACAACAAAAACCAGCCGACAAGGCCTACCAAACTATACATGAGTCGACACCTGTCTATGAGCCTCTAAAGGAACATAAGTGTTGCAACATAGCCGGAACAGGGCCCCGACATACCCATAATATCTATAACAAAAATGCATACCAAGACCAAGGCAAGTCCGAAGAAGGGATCTCGCCAATCACCGCTGAACTGGACAGCCTACTATGGTGGGGGAGCTGCGCCTGCCTGTCTATCAGGACCTGCAGCACGACATGCAGCGTCCACAAATAAAAGGACGTCAGTACGAATAAAGTACTGAGTATGTAAGGCAGGGAACCATAAGTACGAACAGTAATGTAAGCAGGGATAGAGAATAAACAACCTGTAACATCTAGGTACCTCTAAGGGCTACTGACATGAAATGCGTGATACATATGTATATATACATAAACTTTTAAAACATATGCCTCTGTGGGCATCATCATCATCATATCGTACCCGGTCGTAATAGGCTCGGTAAAAACGTACCCGGCCACGTGGAGCTCGGTAAAACCCAACTGATCAGTGGTTGCACAATAGGTGCCGTACCCGGCCGGCTATAGCGCGGCTCGGTAGAGTAAAATAGATACATATATATAATGCATGCTCGACTCATGGACTCACGTTCTAAACCTTTCGGAGTGACGTAAGGTCGGTATCCTCTGTACACGTTATTAGGACTAACTCTTCACCATGAACCTTATAAGAATCAGGAAGTACCAATAACATTGATAACATAAGAATAAGAGAAGCAA